TGAATGAAGTCGTAGGCTTCCGCGGCCAGAGTCATGTGGTTGATCTGGGCTGTCCGGGTGACGCTGCGTCGAAGGCTGAGTTGCCGACGTTTCGACCATCCTGTCGTGGTCTTCTTCATACCAGCCCTGAAGAAGACCACGACAGGATGGTCGAAACGTCGGCAACTCAGCCTTCGACGCGGCGTCACCCGGACAGCCCAGATCACCCACAAGCGTTTGAATGGCTCTGAAAACTTCTTGTATTCGTAATTTTGTTTAAATTTTAAATATAATTAGAGATCGAAGAAATTTTAAACTGGCCCAAATCACGATCAACCTGGTCTCTGTTGATCAGAATTTGCACGTTAAAAGATTGCATTTTGACTTTGCAAATGTTCATGAACAAGTACATTAAAAAATGTACGTACCTGTTCGTACCTGATTAAAAAATCGTATTATGTTTGTGAAAAATCAACATCTAACATATTGGGTAAAAACACATGTTGTCACAGATAAGATTTTTTTTCGCAAAATTTTTGGGGTAGAGTACTAAACTTGTTAATAAAACTTAATGGTCGATTAGAATACCACTTTCTGAATCGGTTCATTGCCTTATAAAGGCAAACTTTTAATTTGTTCATTTTTATTAATTTGTTTCCAAACCTAAATTTTGATTCAGTTGTGCTGGTCACTTGAAAAATGCAAAATATTGGAAGTGGTCAGATACTCGACTCAGTAATAGCAAATCGGTATTCTACCTCCTGAACGTGTTCCAAAAAATACCGGTTCAATTTACATAATCGCAATGCCAATATTAAAAAGATGTTTTAAACTAAGAGCCCCTTCACACGGCGCCACTCAGCAGTGCTTCGGAATGGCGTGTCTGCTGGCAAAGCATTGATTTAAATGCGATTCTCTCCATGGATGAAATCATCAAGGAAGTTTTGTTTGTAAACAATTGTTTTATTTGTTTATACTTTTGTTATATATTTGTTCAAAGATAATTGGAAGATATTCTATTATTTATTATTGTATAATACCTTATATATTAGCGAATACCATGATGCACCTTGTCTGGGTAGGCCACTAATTATCATCTTTTAGCAGGAAAATAATTCCATTTACAGTGGAATATCGGACCTACCCTGCCTGTCTTGCCCTTCATCCACCCACGCTTTTGCACTGCTCTATTCCTCCTCAATCTGAATATCAGCCTACCCCTAACCATGCAGCTTCAGTTGCAGCCAAAAAGCCAAAAGGCTGTGAGCCAAAAGCAAAGCGTATGCTTCGTGGAAGGACAATGTTTGATCTGGAAACCTTAGGATCTCCAGTCTTCACCCTTGCTCCACTTCACCCTCACTCTGCTTGAGTTGCATTTAGTTGGTGGTAATAAATCATTGTTAAATCCATTCAAATAATAAATCATGAATTTTAGTAGAACCTATTTTGGATGTAAGCATCATTTGATTCATTTCATTGAGGTCCTACCTTACAAGAAATGACTGTTATCAGGATTTTCAAATTCTGGAAAGCTTTTCAATGATAGACTCAACAGTGTCTCATGCAAAGAATTCCTTAGAAATGCCAAACATTGGCTCGGAATAATAGACCACAGACACAGCCATCTTCTCCTTTTAAATGACATACTTTGTTGCACTAAATCAGAGGAAATTCCCGTTGGCTTTTTCTTAGATTTGGCAAAAGCTTTGAACATCATGACCATCATATACTTTTAAAGAAAACTTAGAAATGCTTAGGATTCGAGGCATTGCAGCCAATGCGATCAAATCATAATTTATCAAACCGTTTAACCAAATTAGTTGCCCTCCAACGACACTAAAGAAAACAAAATCTTCTCATACTACTCCTGCCCTCAAATAATAAATTATGGAGTCCCGCCAAGGATTCCATCCTTGGGCCAATACTATTCCTTATTATACATAAATGCACATGCCTTTGGCTTAAGGAACAAAAACAAAATAATTTTGTTTGCAGATGACAACAAACATAATATCGAAGCAAAAGCACAACAATCATTATGAAAGAAAACTCACAAAACTTTGCAAGCACTAGTAAATGAGTTTCAAGACAACAAACTCATAATAGAACACCAGCAAGACTGGTCTCTCTAAATTCATGAATCCCCGATCTAAAAGAAAAAGTCTCACTGCATTTGCTCCATAAACAATAAAACCCGTAGATGATATCCTCATGAAACAGCCTTCCTCGGACTAACAATTCAAAAAACCTAAAATGAACACTCACATCTCAAATCGTAACAAGAAGCTCAGCAAATTCTTTCCCGTATGCCCTATATACCCTCAGGTCAAGCTCCATCACTGAGACAACTGAACAAATGTATTTTGCAAATGTGCACTCACCCTAAAATATGAATAAATAATCTGAAATTGCTCCTAAAAGCCACTCACACATTTATTATTCCAAAACAGAATATGCGAACAATGACAGCACTCATAAGGCTGGAAGATTGCAAAACCCTTGTTTAATAAACTAAGGATTCTACCTCTACAATGCTTGCATATATTTGAAATAATGGCTCTTCACAAAGAAAATTCTCATGAAAACAAAGACATTTTTACTTTAATTTTCTGATGTTACACAACTACAAAACCCGCCCGATAACCTACATGTTCCCCCACTCTGAAACCAATATTTTAATCAAAAAAAAGTACCCTATAATAGAGGAGGGCATAACACTTTTACAATAAAACTAGGCAATGATATTAAAAGACATAAACACAATCAGACATTTGATAGTAAATTGAAAACTTTCTTGCTTAACAACACAATTCTACAGTGTAAAGAACATTCCAAATTACATTTCCCTTAAACAATATAAATAAATAAGAATTTTCTTATCTCATAGACTTTCTGTTTCTTTTAACTGCTTCGAGCTAAGCAGAAAAAGCTGATGGAAAAAAAAAAAAATGTTTCTCTCAGGACTACGTGCTACAAATATTGTACTTATACGGTTACTAATATAGTTAAATTTTATAAGTTGGCCAACCAATTGTATATTTCAAATATTAAATATAATTGATATTATTAATTATTATTATTATTATTATTATATTATTATTATTATAATTATATTAAAGTAGTATCTTTAAATAACATCTTGAAATGTTAAATTATCTCTACTAAAAATAATTATCTACGTATAATATCCTAATCTATCTGTAACAATATGATATAATTGCTACCAATGACACCATCTCAAACAGGTTTTGTTTCATTTCCTCTCCCTTGACAAAGCTAGATGCTCCTGGGTTTTGCTCGCTGAACAGTAATGTAACTTCGCTTTCCCATCCACAGTTACTCATCAACATGATTAATGTATATGGACTCAATAAAATATTAATTATATATATTATATTATTATTATATTCTATTATTATTATATAATAATACTATTAGTAAAAAAAAATTGAAAATGGGCTAAAATATCATAAAATACCGCACTTAATGAAATTGCAGATAACAGTTTTCTTGAGTTTAACGTCTTTGTCAACTTTTTTACGTAATTCCTCCAACCTAATTCTCAATCCCCATCATTGGACCCAGGGCGATGCCCCGATCTGCTCATGCCTAGCGCCAGCACTGTGTGTGCAGGGCCCTAGCGCGTGCTTTGTAAGCGAGAGAGAGAAAAGAAGAAGGGAAGAGAGAGGGAGAGAAAAGAGAAGAGAGAGAGGAGAAGAGAAGAGAGAAGAGAGAAGCAGAGAGCGAGAGCCGAAGAGAGACGAGAGCGAGAGAGAAGAAGCGAGGAGCGAAGAAAACGAGAGAGCGACATAGAGAGAGAGCAAAAACGACGAGAGAAGAGCAGAGAGAAGGAGCAAAGGAGACAGAGAGAGAGAGAGAGCGCGAGAGAGCGCGACGAGAGACGAGAAGACTGAGCGCGAGAGAACGAGGAACGAGAGAGAGAGCGAGAGAGAAGCGAGAGAAGAGCGAGAGAGAGAGCGAGAGAGAGAGCGAGAGAAGGCGAGAGAGAGAGCACGAAGCCGAGAGAAGAGAGGCAGGAAGAGAAGCTAAGGAGCACGATTTGTACCCGTCTGACCCCGGATACTGCTCTGCGCCCTGCATTGATGGAGACACCACGGAATTCTACCAAGCAAAGCCGGCTGTCCGCTAGAATTCTCCTCTAGCAGACGCTGCAGATGCCAAACCGAACCTGAATCCGACCCTCGGCCCAGAACACTGTTAATGTACATCAGCTTACGAATGTTCCGCTGATCAGAGGAAGTTCTTCCAGAGCAGAGCGCGCAGGCGTTTAGCTGGACACTCGGGGCACCGCAGTCGTCGGCGCGTGCTTGCGGGAAGCTGCAATCGCAGCCCGGGCGTTGGCTCTGGCGGAGGAAAGACTCGGGCTTCCGTCACTCGAAGCGCTGAGCGTCACCGGAAGCCAGCTCCGGAACCTCCAAAGGAAGTGGCTCAGCAGTGGCGGCCGTTAGCCATGGCGAGATTAGTAAGCGGCGAATGTATGACCGAATTCTCACACATAATTTTACCTCTTTATATTTGTTCTTTAAACAAGAAAACTATGCATGAAGTGTACAACTGAATTGCGCGAATCGGGATTTTAATCCTGTTAAGACTACTTTTACGTGATAACGGAAAGATACAATAAACACTCACGCAAAATAACAGTATTAAAAAATTTTCCCAGGAAACCAAACAGTAATTTATGAAATCAGATGGGAGGGGATTTTTCACACCGTGCGCCACTCAGCAGTGCTTCGAATGGTGTCTGCTGCAAAGCATTGATTTTAAATGCGAGTATTCACACGAATGGCGTATCGCGCTCAGTAACAGCCGCCACTACGCCATTCTGGGAATGCTAACATTTAAAGCACGTTGGTGTGAACTCCTGCCACCAGCAGCGCTGAAGCACGGTCTGCGCCACAGGTAGCAGAACACAGTCAAAACCAACTCACACTAGACGCGCCCATTGAAACGAATTGCTCCGCGCCTGCATTTCGCAGCCTGAAACCCACTGGACTCACGAATCCTTCTCCAGTGTCTGGAAGCTCGGCGCGTTCACCGAGTTGCTCCTGGAAGGCCCCCGTTATTCTTTAAGTAGTAATAAGCCTTCTTCTCACTCACCACAGCAGCCGCTTCTAACGACGCGGCCTCGTAAAAAGCATTGCTTTATAAAAAGAGGTCTTCCCACGTGCGGACCTTCAGAGGCGACCCTCGCACAGTAGCGCGGAAGGGCGTGCCGCCCCCCCCCCATGTCCACGCTAGAAGAATACATATTTAAATGGCGGCTTCTCACGCACCACCGTGACGAACGTTTTTACCATGCTGCCTTCGAAATCAAAGCTGTTACTGCAAAGGGTCGGCCAAACCTCCCCCCCGGCAAACCCCCCCTTCCCATGAGCGCGAGGAGCGCCCTCGCCGCTATCGGGCGACCCGGA